GTTGCGTTCTTTTCATAAGAATATCTGATAAGAAATGATAAAATAGGAATAGTAAGAGCTCTTCATGATTTAATACTGATACCGTTAAAAACTTAAATCAATATATAAATAATGCTTTTATATGCTGGTCAGAATGTAATTCAATTATTGTCTGAAACAATTCGAGTTATTACAATGATTAACTAAAATTTCTAGGATGTGGGGGTGTGGGTGTGGGTGTGTGGGTGTGGGTGTGGGTGTGGGTGTGGGTGGGGTGTGGGTGTGGGTGTGGGTGTGGGCGTGGGCGTGTGGGTGTTGATGCGTTTCTAACTATACTCACACCCACCACTCACACCCACACCCACATCCACACCCATACCCACATCCACACCCACACCCACACCCACAACTGCAATTTTACTAGCATCTTCATGATCGAGTTTATTCAGAAATGCCCCTACTGGTATCTGAGTCTTCTTCTGAGTCTCACTCACACCTTCGCTATCCTTTGTGCCAATATGTTCCTCCATTCACTTCAGTTTCTTTGATTTATATGTATCATAAAAAAATATTCTAGCTTTGCCCAGTCAAAATTAGAATTCCAATTTCGTCTGGTCAAATTCTAAATTTGACCAGATTCCAATTTTGACCGTAACATATATATACATAGGCGGCGCGCCAGCAATGCAATAGTTAGCAATTGCAATCCCTAAAATAAATTATTGGAATCAATAAGAACTTATTGCTTTCTCTAATTTTTCACGCTTCCTGTATATTCTAGAGTAAAACTACTTTATTCAACATACATATATTCGATGTGATTCTGTATTTTATGTAGAAAGATTGAATATTAGTCTCAGAAATTGTTTATTGCTATCCTGATGTATCTGTTTCCCGCAACATATATCGAGTGTCTCATAATAAATGGCCAATTTTTCTATTTCATATTTTAATCTTTGAATACATTTTAAAAACGCACAGAAATTAGAATTAGATGCAACGTAAAGATCTCTTCAGCTACAAAGAAAAGCTTATTTTAATTGTGTACTTGGTGTTTTCAAAATAAATGGAATTCTGCGCAATCAATTTTCGACGCTGCGCAAAACGGTCTCACAGAATTTTGTTTCTTTTCAAAACACAAAGTATACAATTAAATAAGCTTTACTTTGTACACTGTAGAAATTTTTACGCTGCATCTTGAGGTATATGCGATAAAACCAATTAGGTGATAAAAGGATGATATAAGAAGAAAATGATTTGCTCATTGGAATAGAAAAATGATCTTTTAGGTACAATAGATATTATTCTCACGGAATTTTACTTTTTTTTGAAAACAAAAATTACACAACCAAAATATGCTGTACTTTGTGGATTGTAGATCTTTTCACGCTGCACCTTCTGGTGTATTATACTTTTTTTAAAGAAAACATATTAAGAGATACGCAGATAAAATAAGAGTGAAGGAATGGTTTTTTGACACCTTCGAAAAGTGGTCGTATAGAATTTTGTCTTTTTCAAAATCAAAATTAAACAACCAAAATCAATCTTGCTTTGTGAATTGTAGAGCTTTTCACGCTGCATCTTGTGGTATACTCGGTTTTTAATAAAAATTTTTAAAGGCTAACATCTGAAATACAAAAACCGGTCATTTATTATGGGACACCCGTTTGAACGAGATTATGAAATTGATATTGAGGGTGTGGGTGTGGGTGGGTGTGGGGGTGTGGGTGTGGGTGTGGGGTGTGGGTGAGTGTGGCTGTGGGTGTGGGTGTGGGTGTGGGTGTGGGTGTGGGTGGGTGTGAGTTAAAGATAAACAGCCACAGCCATAACCACAGCTATAGCCACACCCACACACCCACACACCCCACACCCACACCCACACCCTTCAATTCCTGCACAAGATTTTAACAATGAAAATCCTCAGTGATCAACTAGTCTAAGAGATGAGGTTCTTAAACAAGATTTTTAAAGTAAAAACAAAATAAAAACCTATTCTGAAAAACGAATTTTCTTAAATTAATATCTTTTGTAGATAATCATCATGGTGATGAAAATCTTGATTCTACTATAGAAAAACATGATCCTAATGGAGCAGTTCCAAGAACTTTTCAAGTTCATTAAGAATAACAACAATGAAACGAAAAACAACGCCATCGGGAACGATGTGTTATTGAAAAACAAAGTCAATAATTATTAAATCAAAATGAAAATAACAAAACTGAAACAATAAATAACATATGTGGAGATAAACATCATAACACAGTATAACAAGATGGTAAAATAATTCGAGAATATGAAAATGCAACAATCCATGAATTATATCAGATTGATTCATCATCGAATGATAATAATGATCACATATGATGGGGAATTTGATTTTTTGGCAAATTCAAATATCCCATGAACTGTACTAGATTAGAGAATGACAATTGTCTTATAATTGTTCTTTTAAGCTTTATTTCAAAATAAAAATGTTTTTTTCCAATATGAAACAGTTCTCGGCATACAACAATAACTATTATCTTTTGAATATGCGATGAGCCATCACCCATTCAGATCCATATTCTCGACGATCAAAAACCACTTTCCCTTTATCCAGGGCGATCATTCCGACCGTTTGAAACTGCGTCTTAAAAGGTCTGAAATAGCTATAAAACGAGGTAATACGGCATTAATTTTCACCTCGTTTCGCCGTAATTCGTCAGCCCATTTTACGGACCGTTTTTTTGCTAGAAAACGGCCATCGTTTTTAGCACTATTTTCAGCATAATCCGAGTTGACGTAAAATGGCGCTGTTTTTGGACGTCTTATATGGTTTTTATGCGGTTTACGGGCCGTTTTCTTGAACATGGGTATTTGTTTTTGAATCATATAAAAATCAATGTTGCCCAACAGAACTAAATAGAGAAACAAACGACAATGATAATGGAAAAGAGAATCTGGTATTACCCGTGCAACATCATATAACACTCGTACATGATCGTTTAGATTAAATCGATGTGGATGTTCTCTAGAACTGAAAATCCAAAAAAAAACTGAATTACAGAGAAATTCGAATTTAAAAAGATCGTCTCATATCTGTTTCATTGAAAAAATAGTGAACAGTCTGCATACCTGGACCTGTTTAATATTTGACAAATTTTTTCGAAAAATATTTGTAATTTTTTTATGTTCCGTTTCATTGAAGCTAACTAGAAGTTGCTGTTCTGCAATAAAGTTCAATAAATTATAATTTTCATCGGTTACATGGTGTTTTGCAAATTCCTTGATCTCGTCATTTAAATGAAAATTTACATTCGATTGTTGTTTTACTCATAGATTTTTGACGAGTTCAGCGGGGCTTAAACCGATTTCCTGAGCAACTGGGTTTATTGAATATGATAAGAACGTACTTTGTTTGTCTAAATTTTCTTCATCGAAATTTTTATCATAAATATTGTCTAAGTAATTCAACGGCAGATGACCTTTTCGATTTGATTCCTTGAGAATATCTCTTGGTTTATTGAAAAATTCACGAATAAGTAGACATCTATCACTTTCCATTTTCGGTGTCTTAAAAGATCCATTCCTTGTTTATAAACTTCAACTTGCTGCTCAACTTCAACAACTTCTTTTGTAAGAGCCATTATCTGTTCCTAATGGTATAAAAAAAAGACACACAACGGGAAAATTCTTCAACAAAAAACTACACTTACGTTCATTGATTTAATATATGAAGTAAAAGTGAGAGAAAATTTATTATTTTATTCATTTATTTTTATCAATCATTAAAAAATTTGGACTTGATGATACTTGATATTATATTATATTATATTGATATTCATATATTTCAATGTACTAGATCGTGAACTTGAAAATGAACACTTAGTAGTTCGAAACGTCGAAATTGATAAAAATAAATAGAAAATAATAAATTTTCTCTCCACTTTTACTTCATATGTTAAATCAAGATAAATGCTCTGACAATTGAAACAAAATACTTACGTTTATATTTTCAAAAATAAAAATGATTTTGGTAAATACACTCTTAACCAATGTCATCAATGCAATAAACGACGTTTCAATTTGACTTTTTGAATTATCTTTTGCAATGCTATCTTTGCATTCTTATATTGCCAATGAGGGTTATTCCGAATTCGCTTATAAGCCTCCAGCCAATAAAAATAGGGATGAACATATATCGTTTGTTGTTAAGAGCGGCTTGTCTTCTTTGACTTTCTTTCTTTGTACTATTGATTCGTTTCACTTTCATATGAAAGTGAAACGAATCAATAGTACAAAGAAAGAAAGTCAAAGAAGACAAGCCGCTCTTAGCAACAAACGATATATGTTCATCCCTATTTTTATTGGCTGGAGGCTTATAAGCGAATTCGGAATAACCCTCATTGTAAACGACAGCGTAAATCATTAATTTCATTATTTGTTTCTACATTCACAAATCTAAATTTAATATCATCATCCAGTTCCTTTATGAACCGATCTAATTCATCAATAATTTTTTTATTATTGTTTGGATCAAAGCAATGTGAATATAAATCCTTTAGAGTCGTTTTGGTTCTATCACGTAAAACATTTAGAAGCCGATCACTTAAATAATTTTCCAATGATACTGTATGATGTTGAAAAATTTCATTAGCCATCATACTAGGGGTGTGGGTGTGAGTGTGGCTATAACAATAAAGAAAAAAAATGTCCACACCAACCTTCACCCACACTCACACAATCACATCCACACCACACCCACAGCCACGCCACACACTCACCCACACTCACCCACACATCCACACCCACCCACACTCACCCACATCCACCCACCCATCCAGACTCACCCACCCATCCACACTCACCCACACCCACACCCACACAACCACACTCACACTCACGCCCCACACCCACCCACACAACCACACCCACACTCGCACCCCACACCCACACCCTCATGTAAAGCCTAAAATACAAGCGATTTTATCAGTTTCTAGTGTTCTCTTATTTTGTATGTATTATAATTTTTTTCTTCGGCTTTAATTTGCTGAATTGACAGTTCCTGTATTTGTCGTAGGTTTTGTTTTACACATCACTTGTAGTAGATTGATTAGTTCTCTTTCAAATTCAACTTCAATATTTAAACTATCTAATTCAATAGGAGCATATTGACCCAATGGTAATTCAATATAGATGCCATTAAAATCACTGCCAATCGATAATGTAATTCTATCGCCATTTTCATCAAAATGAACCGAACAAATAATTATTAATATCCACTGTTGTTTGTTTTGGTGATAAGATAATACATCATAATTTTGACGTTCAGTCATATCTTGTCGATATTGTAACCAGTAACAATGGCCATCATACCATGAACATGATGGATGTCGTGCGATAAATTTTGCCTTAGCAGATTCAAATGCAACCGAAACTTTATAGAATATTTTGATTGAATATTGACTTAAAAGAGCAGTAGCTGATTCAAGTGCAAGCAAACTTCTTGTAGCATTACTGAGTTGTTGATCAAATGGAATGGTGCTCTCCTCGAGAATGTGGCGAATTGATTCTAACCGATACTCTAATTGCTCAACCGTCCACTGATATTCCGCATTTTCAAATCCTTTGTCAAATGTTGTCATAATATAACTTCTTAGTTGTTTTGTTAATCCTGGCCGCAATTCTTTCGCAATACCTGAAACAAGAAAAAAATATTGGGAATTTTAGTTAACTACTACTGTGCAGTAGTTTACTTAGGGAGCAATTTAAGGTATACGCGCTTTGAGTTGAATCGATCCATAGGGAGAATGACTTGCAGTACGACTTATGAAATATAGCCGTCGACAAAAACTTATCTCACTGAATTGAGCTCACAATAGCGATAAATTCAGGAAGGCACATTTCAAATAAGAATAACGAACTTTCCTTTTTTCCCATGATCAATGCTAGGGAACTTAGTAATAAATATAAAATTCTACATTTAGTTCTAAAAGCTTTCACTAAAAAGACTTTTTACCGATGATTACACATACCTTTTTCGTTCACAGCTTGATCTATTTTAATCATAATGTCATTTTCAGCTTCTTTTTGCTGATGGGGTGCCAAATGCTCTTCATCACGGTGCTTAAGTCCTGGTTCAATATTAGTTATGAGCCAAAATAGTATCGCACAAACACTTGAAGCATCGATTGTAGGACTACGGCGAACATTTAATAGTACATTCTGCTCTTTCTTTGTTTTATCCTTCCATGTCGCTGAATTCAGCTGTGGAACGCGAAAAAACGCATTACCTAAGGTGCAACCAAAGTGTGTTTGCCGAAATTTCTCTTTTTCTTCAAATTCGGACCAGTCAACGTCATCTTCACGATTTTCGATGTATGCTAGTCCAAAATCGATAACATGAATTTCAGCTGTTTCAATGAGAGTATTCATGTCGTGAACAACTAATAGATTAGCTGGTTTTATATCACGATGCACAACACCTACGCCATGAATCTGTTTAATAGTTAAAAGTAGTTTTTGAGTTAATCTAATAGCGTTCAGCAAGCCCATGCTTTCGTGTTTTTCCATAAACTGTTCTAAAGTGCAACCATCAATATAATTGATAATTGTCCAATAAATTTTATTTCCAGCTATTGCATCTTCTTGTTTATCCGGTATATTTGTATTATCCTGTGTATAAGATGTTAGTTGACTAACATTTTTCATACCTAAGCAAGTGCAACATAAATATATATATAACTTATGGAGAAACTATAGAGAAGAAAAACTTCTGAAAACACTTACCTTTTAATGCCTTTAAAGCGACCAATTCGCGATGAGCACACATTCTTCGTTCTTTCAAATAGTCTTCTAGTCCTTTGCTATTTTTTTTCGGTTTAGCATCGACTGAATAAATTTTTACTGCCGCTATTTGTGCTTCGTTGTTTTTATAGTATATTGTGCGTACTTGGCCCTGGCCACCAGCATCCCCTGATTATAAATTTTTAGAGGACCAATCCATCGGAACATCGTTTGGTAAATCAGAATTTGCTTAAAAAGAGAAAATGTAAATATTATTAAAGTTACAACACTTTTCTATCAGTTTATCTTGCGTAAAATAGCTACACTTTATGAAGAAGTAGTTCAATTAATAAACTGATAACATACTCACAAGAATTTCTAGTGAATATTTATCGGAAAGGGAGCAATACTTTGACAGTCGACACGCTATTGTTAGAATTTAGTAGTTCGTTTTATTTTAGAAAATATACATTCAATCTTCTTACCTTGGTCTTTGACGTCTTTAATAGCATTACCACATGATCGATCATCTAGAGTGGTTATTGAGCTTGTACTTTGACTACGCTGGCTTCCATCGAAGTTTAATAACTTTTTTGGATCCTCAAGTGATCCTGTTGAGCTTCGTGAATCTACATTGGATACATTATTATTTGCATTCACGAATTCGAATTCACTTTTTCGATGTTCTGTTAGAGTTTGTTCTTGAAAGTATAATTTACAAAAATACAAAAGTGAAAATTATTTTAAAGCAATTTCATTATTTTTATAGAACGAGGATGAAGATCATTGGGACACATGAACCAAATAGTGGTGGATATTGAAAATTATGTTAAATTGACTTGGCTACACAATTGGATTTCTTTATGAAATATTACTCTTAGATAAGTACAAGTGACCTATTTTGAAATTAGTCATGTAAAGCGTAAATTGACTCAATTTTTCTAAACTAGGCATCAACTAGTTGGAAATATGAATCAAATCAAAATACTTTGTTTGAATCGTTGATCTTTTAAAATAAAATTTCCTCAGAACAATATCGAAAATTCTACTTTTCAAGTATATTTTCATATGTCATTTTTTTATAAAAGGAATTGGTTGTTAAATCAATAATGTTGTCTGATTTGGAAACAATTTTCGCCTCCGCCTCTCTTAACCATTGACTTCGTTGAATTAAGAGACTCCTATAAATTTAAGCTTGAAATTATTGACAGACTCATTACAGTGCCAATCGATTGTGAATAATGAAGCTAAGAGACGTATCACTTTTCTAATTTTGATCTCGTCAAAAATATACGTCGTATTTCCATTAAGCGAATCATAGCGTTTCCTTCTTGCATAGTCTGTTTTTCGCCAACGTACCGCTGTTCTAATTTGTATATTAGGTGAGAAGAGCTTAATGTTACACTGAACTCATGGAACTTTTGACAGAAAGAATCAGTGGTTTTCCATTTAACTCAAAGGATCCGAAATCAGTATGTAGCTCCAGAAAGATGAAAATGGCATTTTTGGTCAAGAGTAAAAGGAAAACACATGACGAATACTTTCGAAAATATCGGCACATTAACTATTTTAAACATACCAACAAAAACATAAAGAATATGAATCAAGTAACAATAACCACTAAACGAAATCTCGGATTCAAACTGCCTGAAATTAGGTATAGTATAAAAAAATTTGGCTTGTATTAAATCTTCAACATTCAGCTTTTGAGACAAAGCATTGTAAAAACTTCGAAGTTCATGAACATTTATGCTTATAGGTAATTCTGTTGCGCAGTTTGCCTATCTAACTCCTGAGACCAAGATGTAACATCACCATGCTTGTTATTCATATTTTTTAACAATATCTTTCAAATGAAACTTTGTGGCGAATTCAGTAACGCTTCATGTTAAAGAAGATTATGAATTCAAAGAGCTATGACATACTTTTCACGACCTGAAAATAGATATGTGAATCTCTGACTATTAAACACTAATTTGGAGAACTTATTTTTAACAGTTTGAGCAAATATCAAACACATTGCGCAAGATTTCTTCGATATGAAGCATTGCTCAACTGACTCAAAGTTTTCGATTCAAAAACATAATCAAAAAACACAAGGAGATGTGATCATGACAATGTAGTATTTCTGCTGCAGGAGTTAGATGGAGATGTAACGTTAACATTTTTCAGATATTGGTACTGTGAAAACCAAAGGATGTTTTACTGAATGAGAGAGAATTCCTTAGTTCAGCACAGCACTCAAAAAAAGAGGTACGCAACATGAGTTTTTATATCTACTTTATCATCTTACAAGCAAATGTTGTTAACTAAAAAGATTGAAGCGAGAAGCAACTTTCTCGCTCTTCTTAGTAGAGTCATTGTGTTTAAGGCTTTGCCCTAGCATAATTGAGCTATATTTTTGCTGGATACTCAACTAGAATCTAAGCTGCTAGATAAGAATGAGCCTCGATCACAAAATGTAGCACATAGTATATGGCAAACAAAGTATTTGATTGCCTTTTTACCATCTATTATCAATTCTTTGACTGCTCTATTAACGTTATGCAGATCGGGATGTCTTAATTTCGCTTTCATCTGTTCATCTTCAAAAATCTCTGTCTTATTTATCTATCTTTTCATTCTCACTTCCGTCACATGGTCTATGTTTTATTTCGTTTGTCCTCATCTCCGTCATGGTTATTCGTCTGTCACTCTATGAGTCGTTTTGATAGGGACATTTGCCTGTCGTTGGATTCATCACAGTGCCTAAGATCTGCACGTGTCACTAGATCAGTCACACCTAAAGAACTTATCAGTCTGTTGTTCCTTAGTTCTCTTAGCTGGAAGCATGTGCACAAACGTTCGTTATCATATGGCTTTCAGCTTATAGTTAAAGACAGAAAAATGGAAGTACACCTCAACTAATCGTAAACTCACCAGGCATTGAAGTCTGCAATGTATTTGTATTATTATTAACTGGGACTGAATTTGAATCTTTTTCTACGGAGTATGCAACATCATTAAAGGTATGCGGATTGTCTTGGATTGCTTTGTCCACAGGATCATAACTTAAATTAAAATTGATTATTTTAAAAATAAGGTTTGATTTACAGTATCCAAAATCTTACTCGTCATAGGTGATTTTCACCTCCTTTTCTGCTCTTTCGATTCCAAGGATTGTACCATACTGACCAAAGTGACGCTTTAATTCATCTTCTGGTAGAATGTGTAGCGGCTTCACACCAAAAGATAGTGTACGTATGTCTCTTTGTGCTCTGAGCTTTTTCGAATTAGGTGTTACTCGTAAATCTCGATGAATATAAATAGCATGGCCGTTCAGAATATGCGGACGGTTTTCTTTTTTCATCATATTGTCGACTGATTGTGGTTCTTGATATTGAGCAACACCACGCGGTGCTGACGATTTATCTATGACTAAGAATAAGCTTTCTGTTATGAAACAACTTAGATTGTGAATTGCGAAAGAAACATTGGTATAGGTATAGTAACTTTTAAAAAAAGTACTTCTTGAGTGTAGATCAGCATGATCTCCATCATTCATGGCCACAGTCTGGAACGTAACCGATTTTTCAAAAAATGTCATAGCCGTAGCCAACGTGTTTCATGACAAATTTTAAACTGTAGCCGTATGACTTCTGTTTTTAGTCTTGTGCAACTCATACAACTTATCATGAGTGTGTAACGTTAGAATCGAACTTTGTCCAAATTTTCCTCTCACCTTTCAGGCACTCATTCTACTGCTTCATATAATTTGTATTGAAAACTAACTCGTACTCTTCCTGTAAAATCTTGTTGTACTTAGGTTCGATGTACTGACATTGAGTGGTTCGAGTAGAGTATGTGATCGAAAGCAAGAAAATATTGCATGAGATTTATAATACCTGATGTGTTAAATGCTCAAATGATTTATTATCAAGAGTTACAGGTTCGGTTAATGCAATTGGGATTTCATCCGTGCAATTTGCGAGAAACAAAACTCGATTTGTTCATTATCGAATGTAGAAAATGGGAGTGACTCAGAAATCACCTAGAAAAAAGAAAAATGTACATCTTAACTATTTTATGATGAAACGAACTGTTTGTTTCTAGCTGATAAAGAAAATCTTCTAGGTTTTATTCACAAGAAAAAAATTTAATAGTATTGCTCAAAGCTATTATTATTCATTTAAAAGAGAAAAAGTTACATTTCGCGCAAAAATAAGCTACAGATTTTGGATTTCTATAATCTGATGCAAAATTCACGTATTCTTAATTTTTTAACAGTTTTTGTCAACGCTAGAGTTGTCGGTAACGTATCTAATTTCTTAAGAACTCCACAGAATTCTCTCGAGTTTTATTTCACAGAAAAGCTCTGAAAATACTAGCATCTACGGTTAAGGTTTGCTAGTATACTGATAAGCATGCTTAACAGCAAATACAAATGTCTTCAAAAGCCTATTGACAAGTCATACTTTATCATATCCATTTTGCTGATAATTGTATGAAAAGAGTTTTTCTATTTTTTTAAAGACATGACAGTTTGAAGTCAAAATCCTATAAAACATCAAAGAGCCCGAACCGAATCAATACCCTGTTTTCTACTAGTCGGGCCCTAGTATCGAGATGTCTTGATGAAAAGAGAAAAAGTTTTACATCAAAATGATCAGCAGAAAAAAATCGGTAGAGTAGGACTTGTCAATAAATTTTTGGTTATCTTTGCATGTTTTGTTGTTCGCAAATTATAAAAGTGCCTGATAGAAAAGGTCGAATTTGTATTGATGTAGACAATACTAGATTCCAAAAGTGTTAATAAACTACTACCTTATGAATAAAAACTTGAAAGCTTCTGTATCATCCAGAAAAAGAAATTAGCTCATTTGTTCATAATACGGTGAAGATGCACTATTTTCTTTTTTGTAAATGATTTTAAGAGCACCATGCATTTGTTTATTTTATTTTCATTTTGCTCACCATGTGAAGAAGAAAATCAACGACATAAGTTAATGTGTTTTTGCATATTAGCAGTGCCCGATATCGGCAGCTACTTTCTATCAATTGGTACTA